TTTGTTTGTACAACTTGAATATATAGTCACTCTTGAACTGAAAAATAATCGAAACCGAGGCGAAGAAAACCGAAACCGAAAGAAACCGAACCGATAAAAAATCAACATACACGATTTTTAATTTTACAAAAACCGATATATTCGGTTCCCGAACCGAGCCGTACGCAGCCCTAAATTTATTTGAAACCCACGCGTGTATATGAAATAACCCCTAATAAAAATCCCATATGAGGGTGTTTTTGTCAAATTGGCAACTCAAATTAAATCCACCGTCGGAATGTTTCTAATTCCTAACAACTTGTGGAAAGTTGCTCTTCTTTGGGGCTAACTACTACAGCTATTCAATAGGCTTAACCATGGAAGTTTCCAGAAAAAATACCTTTTTACGCGTAAAACCCTATTTTGTCAATCCAGCTCATTTGTCACTGGACTTTCCACATAGATCGGATGCTTCCTTACCACCAAAGCTCACCATACAGCTGGCTATGCCAATTCATTCTTCCATATCGATATATATATATATATATATAGTGGGATTCTCACTTCCATTTTCATTCACCAAACTACAACAATCTGCATTTTTTTCTCTGTTTCTCTAAGCAATAAAAAAGATTATATCGGAGAAGATTAAATATGGCAAAATTAACACTAGTGCTGATTTTACTCTGCATTTCCTACTCGGCTTCGGCCGATTTCTACCGCGATGCGGAGATCACATGGGGCGATGGTCGCGCCAAGATTCTAGAAGGTGGCCGAGCATTGTCTTTGTCCCTCGACAATTACTCTGGCTCCGGTTTTCAATCCAAGAACGAATATTTATTCGGTAGATTCGATATTCAGCTCAAGCTTGTCCCTGGAAATTCTGCTGGCACCGTCACCACATTCTTCGTACGTTCCATTTTTTTTCCAATTCTCTCATAATTAATCTTCATCAATAATTAATATTTCAAAATATTTGGTAATTAATGAAGTTGTTGTTGAATTAACATGCAGTTGTCGTCGCAAGGAGCAGGGCACGACGAAATCGACTTCGAATTTCTAGGAAATGCAACAGGAGAGCCGTACACAGTACATACAAATGTATATGCTAAAGGCAAAGGCGATAAAGAACAACAGTTTCGTCTTTGGTTCGATCCTTCTTCTGCTTACCACACTTACTCCATCCTCTGGAATCCTCAACGCATCATGTATGTACTTTATTATTACTCTACTAATTCTAAATTTTGGATTTCAAATTATGATTAATTAATTAAGCTTTTTTCTTGATTTAACGAACAGATTCTTGGTGGACAATATTCCGATAAGAGTGTTCAACAATGAAGAAGCGATAACCGGGACTCCGTTTCCGACGAGTCAACCAATGAGAGTGTACTGCAGCTTGTGGAACGCAGACGATTGGGCAACACAAGGCGGTCGGGTCAAAACTGATTGGACTAAGGCTCCGTTTGTCGCTTCGTACAGGAATTTCAACATTAACGGATGCGTTGCCGGGTCGCAATGCGGGTCAGGGTCGGATTCTAATATGAAGGCGGAGGGGGCTAATAATAATAATTGGAGAACGCAAGGACTAGATGCAAATGGAAGAAATAGACTGAGATGGGTTCAACAGAAATATATAATCTACAATTACTGCTCTGATTCTAAGAGGTTTCCTCAAGGAATTCCTGCCGAATGCAAGCGCTCCAGATTCTGAAGAGCTTTACCACATTATCGATTATTTATTTACTTATTTATAATTATGTAGGAATTCTTTATTCTTTAATTCTTTAATACAAATTGTGATAGCAATCTGAAGAACTAGTGATTATTTATCTGCCAATTCATTTGCAAAACATTTGTTAGAAATGAGATTTTACATCTAGTATTTATAAGCAATCAAGTCAAATTAAAAAAAAAAATTAATCGAGTCAGACATGAATCAAGTCACGTAACTGTATTTATTTATTTACTTTTTTATTTGTTTACATATTTTTTGTTATTTTCTTTTTCTAATCGAGTTCGAATTCAAGAGAGCTTCATAGCCTATCGAGCGAAAATATATGTCCAAATTGGTTTTTTTAACGTTATCAAATCCAGCGTAAAATGAAATTTTAACAAACAATCTGGAATCGAGTATTGAGTAATTTGATTTAATTTTCAGCTTTACGACAACAAGAAAGAAGATAGAATGATGTAATAGATATCAAACTCTTACCGAGTTATGATTTGATTCATCGTTTCGATTTGATTTTTCAGCTTTTCTACTTGAATCTTAAATGAATTCTAATTTGATATGACTCTGTAGAGTTTGTTTATGGTGTATTGCAATTATTTACGTTTTTTAACGATTCGGTTGTTTTTTTTACGATTCAATCTTTATCTTATTTCTTGTGTTAAAAATAAAATCAATTGGCATCTTATTGAAAATGAAATCAAATGAAAAACTAAAAAGTAAAGTAAATAAGAAAAAAGTGAATCGAACTATAAAGCTGTATTAACATATTTTACTTTTCTATAATTTTTTTTTTCGAAAAATAGGTGGTGTTTGTAAAAGCTTAATCAAAAGTGGTAGTGATTGTGAGTATTATGTGTATTTTAAAAAGTTAAGTATTTGCAAATATCCAGGAAAATAAACTTAAATAAAAAAAAACAATTCTATGGGTGTTTTTTTTATGGGACTATTAGTGAAAATTCCCTCAAGCATTTTTTTAATAATGATGGATCTAGTCACTTTTTCTTTATTAGTGATAAACCCAACTTTTATTTATTATCAAATTTACCCTTCCCTACTATTTGTTGCACATACCTTTTTTATTTCTTTTCTATTTTCCATTTTAATTTTCGTTTTGTTTATTTAAAAAAATAGTTTTTAAAATAATTTTTATAAATATTTTTTAATAACTAAAAAATAATATTATTTTCAACATTTTTTTAGTTTCGTTTCTCCAAAATCAACTATAATATTTTCGAAATCGACTAAATTTTTTCTGAAAATCAACCAAAAGAATTTTTTTTTTCATATCATTTATTTTGAATCCAAAACAAATTTTTTCTCAACTAATTTACCAAATTGACAAATTACTACATATTATTGAAATAACTATAAAAAAATAAAATTAACTAAAAATGTCGAAAACAACTAAAAATACATCAACTAATTTTTTTAATTTATATTTTTTGATTTATATTTTTCCAGCAGGTCATATAATTGGATAAAAAAATAAAAAATCAAAATCAACTACCAAAAACTTGAAAATCAACCAAAATAGCCGAAAACAACTAAAACTATCAAAAACAACTAAAAGAAATAGCAGGATAACGAAAACAGTTATAAAAAATAGCCGAATAACAAAACAACTATTTGCTGTAAAAATACCTAACATCAATAGATTCCCCCAAAATCACACCCCAAAACCAGAATTTTCTTCTCCACCACACACCTACAACCATCAATAGATTCCCCCACCATCAAATAATCCATTATGAATCAACAAACAAAAGGGAAGCTGAAATCAATTCAAGCAAAAAATGAAATGCATTTGCAATTCCATTACATACCGTATATTTGTGTAAGACCCACCATTAGAGCACGTGGAGGGGAGCTTGAACAGACACAATAAACTTCTTCAGCCTCCTAACTCTAAACAATGGCCCCTTCCCTCGTGCTCTTCCCTCCGTCAGATCCACCAGTTTTTTTTTCTCTTTTCCTATTTTTCCCACAATACAAAGAGACCAAATGAAATTTAACAACTAGAAAATTTGTGTCAAAACTAACAAGGGTTATCTTCAACTCCATTGCCGCCCCCAAAGTGAAATTTTTTCAAACTTTCCTTTTTTTTCCCGATTTTTTGTGTTCTAGTGTTGGATATTAGGTTTGTTCTAACTAGGGGTGGTTTCGTCATTTCATGTAAGTCAACACCCAATTTAAGTGTAAGGGGCAGTGTACTTTGCAAAACAAAATACAGGGAGGTCTTTGCTAATTTTTTTAACACACGGGTCTTTTTGGCTATTCAAAATTACACAGGGGTTTATATGCAATTGACTCCATATATATATATATATATATATATATATATATATATATATATATATATATATATAAGGGCTTATGTAAGATTTTATTATTATTATTATTTTTTTTAAAAGAACGTCACCCGATGAGGGTGGGGTTAGGATTGACCCCTAAAATATGTTGTAAGATTTTATTACTTTGATCCTTCCAATCTTAGTAAAAAAATAAGTTACAAATATAGTAGGCTCAATATTAAATGTTTCTTCTAGCCACGGATATAATTTTTTTTTACCATACCTCAAAAAATTTCACCCTCTAGCCATCGTTACATAATATTTTAGGTGTTATGATTTATTATATCATTGAATATGCATGTACTAAGATATATATATATATATATATATATAATTTCTAGTTATTTCCAATAAAAATAAATAATACTCTATTCGAAACAATTTATATATTTTTGCAAAATAATTTATATTCGGTTTGCAATTTAACAACCATGGATGTAATAAAATAAAACGAGCAACAATAACGGCCAATTTTTTTTTATAATCGAAAATTATTTGAATTACTTTTATCGGATATAACAAAGGGAAAAGAACTGCAAAAAAACAAAAAAATAGAAGGAAAACTAAATTTATAGCGACACTTGAGAGTTAAAAAGTGCAACGAAAAAGACAGTGGTAAAAACAAGTTGGGGTGGGGTGCTTCATGCTTCCCTACTTTTGAACACCGAGAAATTTATCACCGCACTTTTAACCTTTTCTTATTTTCAAAAATAAAAAATAAAACTAAAGGGTAATTTATGGTCATCTCGAGGTAAATTGAAATTACCAAAAACACCCTTATTTGGATAAATACAATCACCCATCGAACATGATTTTTCTTACGCGTCCATCCTTTTAGTGTCAAATTCAACATAATTTTCTAAATTACGTGGAATGTTCTTTAGTTTGTACTCGTTTTGTGCAAAATGCAGATTCTGATACACCAAAATTTGATATTTATAAGTCAAGAGATACAATTTATGATCATCTTATTTTGAAATGTGGAGCTCAAATGGGGTAAAACGGGTACAAATAGGAGAATATTCCACCAAATGTTACACGATTTATAAAAGAGGGTGGTTGTAGTTACATAAATATGTGAAATTTTTTCGTAATTTGACATTATCTCGTGGGTAGCCGGTAATTTACTCTAGAAATAAATAAATAATTTTAACCTTTTGTTATAGGTTCACATTTTCTTACCCCTCCCTCTACCTCGAGATGCGTGTAAACTCAAACAAAACCAACACGCGAGTATCAATGACTTCCTAAGTACTGTTTGGCTGGCACGCTCTTGAAAATTAAATTGAAAATTAAAAAAAAACAGAAAGAAAGCGAATATAGAGAGTCTGTCTCACTCGGCAAAATCCCTTTGAACAAAACACTGTTGCTGCTTATATACACTTTAAATATATAAATAAAAATAAAAACACACTGCTTCTTCCCTTTTTCTACTCTGTACGAGCCAAACACGCCCTTTGTCTTATTTGGGTTTTCCGCAAACAGGTTTTAGCTCAACTCATGGCTATGGCGTTTACATGTTACGGCAGCATTGGATTTCCTCCCAACAGGTGAGCTTTTTGCAAAATCCCTAATTTAATATTTTATTTGTTCAATTTTATTTTATTTTTATTTATTAAATTTTGCTCTTCAGTGGGTTCTTGATAATTAATCTGTGTTTTTTGTAATGGAAAAGGGTATTTTGGGGATTTTATTTTTTAGATTAGTTAAGATCCCATTTCTTTATTTTGAAATTCATGATTTATTGATTTTGAAGAGAAGTGGTTTTGCATGTGTATGTGAATAATTTGGGGATGGCAATGTAGTAAAATCCGAACTTGGGAATTTTTATTGCAAATTATATTAATTTTTTGTCTTCGGAATGGATAGGATTCTTTACGGGATCGAATCAACGTTCGAGTGGAAACACTCGATAAATTTTAATTTTGGCATAATTACAATGTGTAGAAATACTAGGCTATGTACACCTAAATTGAATACAACCAAGATGTATCGAGTACGATATGTGTTGAAAACAATGTGATATTGCGTATCGCCATAATATGAATGTAGTTCAAGATTAAGTTTCCGCACATTTGCGTATCGGATGATTTTCTTACCTTTTTCGTGTACTTGTTGCGCGAAACTTTGTCGTATAACCAAGTTAGGGATGTCGGATTAATATGTGCGAACGACTAACAACTTAATATAAAATGTTGGAATTTATTCTCGATGGTTATGTTGCTTACTTGCGCTCGCCACAAAATAGTAACTTCTGCATAAATTTATTCTCGGTGGTTTCATTCTCGTATTAGGTTGGTTTTGTTTGTATAAATGTTGATTATTAATGCCATTACAGCTCCATTTTTTTTTTAAATTAATTATAAAAAACAAATTGTAACGCTTGCACTGCGTATATCAGGGATTTGGAGGCATTCAGCAACTACACATGAGTAATTTGACTCTTTAGTAAAAGATGTAGAATCGACAAAATTGACGTAGGGGAATGAAGCCATTGGTCCGCGAAGCAGATGAACTATTGTAATATATCGACACTTCCTATTATGGGAAATGCATATATTAAAAAAAAAAAAAAAACAAATCTTGATTTTTGAAGTATTTTAATTGGCAAAATCGACATGTCCGATATTTTTCTAACTTACATGCTTTTTCATATTTATTATCAAATGCTGATTGATTAGCTTGAACACATATTATTATTATGAGTGTGTGTTTAAATTTATAATAGAGGCCATTTGAAAGTGTGTAATAAATCTGGTACAGGTAATTGTTCAGTTATAGTTACTGAGGTTAAAAGGCAGCTTATTTTGTACAAGTGGTAATTAACTGTTTGACAGGTAAATATTTTTTTACAAGGCTGACATATTAACTGTTTGCAGAACTCTTTTTTTAACTTGTTTTTATGCTGTAATAAAACTCTTAAAACTCTCAACTGTCCATTCTCTGCATAAATAGAAATATGCTTTTTTGTTAGGTTTGTCTTGTCTATGTCAACTCATTTTATTTTTTATTTTTTGTTAATCTTATTGTGTGATATATTGAAGAAGAAAAAAATTCATTTGCTTACATGTAGGCCTCTAACGAATCAAACATCTTACTGACTAAATAATTAATTAGTCAGTGCGATATTAATCCAATCTCACATAATTCAATGTACAGTAGAACCTCGATAAATTAATACCCGATAAATTAATAACCTCGCTTAAATAATAAATTTTCCCGGTCCCGACTCGGGGACAACGTGCTAAATTAATAATTCGCTAAATTTATAAGATAATACACATTAGGAAATTTTAAGAAGCCCCATATAATATATAAATTAATAATTCATAAAAAAAATTCTTAAATTACATGGTACAGTGCATAGTTTATAGATTTATGAAGGCTTAATAAAATATAATTTAATTCTCACTTGTTTCTTGTAGAAGTTCACATTACCATCAATCTCGTCGCTCACTTTTCTTAACATGGTTAGAACTTTAGGTATAGTTTTCTCATAACTCAACATAAATCGTTCTGTACCATTACTGTTTTAAGAGCTTCCATTCGTGAAACGGGCTCTATAATGCATTGAACGAATGGTACAATGAATAATATATATGTAAAAAATTAAAAAAAAATGTATTTATTGAAAATAATAATAAAAGTAATTTCATAAATTAATAAGTTATTAATTAATGTATAAATTAATAATTATTAATTTATCGATAAGTTAATATTTCGCTAAATTAATGAAATCTTGATGGTCCCAACTGTATTAATTTATAGAGGTTTAACTGTAATTCAATATAGGTAAGCAAATGAGGCCATATTGGATTAGACCGGATTAGATTAGATTGAATTAATTCCTTAATGATTAACTAATCAATTAGTTAATAATATATTTGGTTCTTTAGATTACATATTGTATTAAATCTGTTGGATTTTCTATTATTATATGTGAATTGTCTATAAAATATTTTAGTTAACAAAATTAAGTTATTGTTTCAAGGATAAAATTATAATTTTTTTCATTTTTGTCATTCCCTGCAACATTAAACGCGGGGTGGGAGAGGTATTACAAATTTCATAACGCAGTAACACTTGAATGCGGGCTTAACTGGCTTGAATAATATTGCATCATATCGACCAAACATCTTACTAACTCATATTATTTATCTTATTCTAACCTAATAGTAAATAAGAAAATACGCGCTCTCCGCTTTTAAATTAATTGTCACCATTTGTTATATGTTATCCGTTATATATTTATTTATATACCTTAGTTTCCCAAGATTCGTTTATATATTTATTAGTGTGTACAAATATATTAGAACTCATTTTCTACAAATGTTTTGCAATGAATTGGCACATAAGTGATCATTAGATCTTCGAATTGCTATTACAATTTGTATTAAAGAATTAAAGAATAAAGAATTCCTACATAATTATGAAGAAAAAAATAAAATAAATTGATAATCTGGAAAAGGTTTTCAGAATCTGGAGCGCTTGCATTCAGCAGGAATTCCTTTAGGGAACCTCTTAGAATCAGAGCAGTAATTGTAGATTATATATTTCTGCTGAACCCATCTCAGTCTATTTCTTCCATTTGCATCTAGTCCCTGTGTTCTCCAATTATTATTATTAGCCCCCTCCGTCTTCAATTTAGAATCCGACCCTGACCCGCATTGCGACCCGGCAACACATCCGTTAATGTTGAAATTCCTGTAAGTCGCCACAAACGGAGCCTTAGTCCAATCGGTTTTGACACGACCGCCTTGTGTTGCCCAATCGTCTGCATTCCACAAGCTGCAGTACACTCTCATTGGTTGACTCGTCGGAAACGGAGTCCCGGTTATCGCTTCTTCATTGTTGAACACTCTTATCGGAATATTGTCCACCAAGAATCTATTGTAAAATCAAGGAAAAAAAGTTAATAAATATTATTCTAATTTGGATTATCCAAAATTTTTAATTTCGAGAGTAATAGTAAAATACATACATGATGCGCTGAGGATTCCAGAGGATGGAGTAAGTGTGGTAAGCAGAAGAAGGATCGAACCAAAGACGAAACTGTTGTTCTTTATCGCCTTTGCCTTTAGCATACACATTTGTGTGTACAGTGTACGGCTCTCCGGTTGCATTTCCTAGAAACTCGAAGTCAATTTCGTCGTGCCCTGCTCCTTGTGACGACAACTGCAAGTTAATTCAACAGTAATTAGCAAATAGATATAAATATTTATTACTGATTAAGATTAATTATGAGAGAATTGGGAAAAAAAAAATGGAACGTACGAAGAATGTGGTGACGGTGCCAGCAGAATTGCCAGGGACAAGCTTGAGCTGAATATCGAATCTACCGAATAAGTATTCGTTCTTTGATTGAAAACCGGAGCCGGAGTAATTGTCGAGGGATAAAGACAATGCTCGGCCACCTTCTAGAATCTTGGCGCGACCATCGCCCCATGTGATCTCCGCATCGCGGTAGAAATCGGCCGAAGCTGAGTAGGAAATGCAGAGCAAAATCAGCACTAGTGGTAGTAATTTTGCCATATTTAATCTGTAGTTTGTTTTGTTTTGATTGAATAGAGAAATAAAATGAAGGTAGGTAGTGAATATTGGAGTTGTGTTATGGTGTAATGAATGAGAAAATGGAATTGAGAATTGAAGTATATATATAGATGGTTTATTTTGGACGGTGGGAAAGCATAGCAGGCATAGACAGCTGTATCCGTGTGGTGTGGGGAGAGTAAATTAAATTAAATGAGCTGGATTGAATCATAAATGAAGTTTAGGTTATGGGGTTTTAACTTTTAAGCGCGTAAAAAGTGATTCTCGAAACTTCCCTGGTTGAGCCTATTTGGTAACTGTAGTTGTTGTTGAACCCAAAAAGGAGCAACTTTTGACAACCAGGCAATTACACACGTTTCGTGAAGCTTCCTTTTTTTTTTTTTCCTTTTCTTTTTACCTTTATTTTTGGTAAATTACACAATGCAAATTTGGCTTTAAAGTATACGAGAGTTGTAAAGCGCACTCGACAAGCCCCGTATGAGTGTTAACAAGATTGAGGGATTGAACTCGAGCCAAAATTTCATAAATAATAATTATTTTTCTTGTGTATAAATTGAACCGAGCCCCAGGGCCGGCCCTGGGGTGGGGGTCCAAAAAATAATTTTTTTTATATTTTTTATATAAATTATATATATTTTAATGTTACTTTTCTTTTTTATATATACAAATTTAATTATTATCATGTAGAATTTATCTAAAAATAATTAAATTTATTAACTGAATAATATTTATAATAAAAAATAACTTCATTTATTAATAATAAAATTGAAATATTATTGAATAAAACTTAAATATGAGATTATCATACAAAAAAAATACTAAATATATTTATTCTATAATCAGGCAAAAGGTTATATTGATAAATCTTTATGTACATTAATACATCCCGAAAAGAAAAAAGTCGGGGGCGAGCATCGAAATATGCCGAACCCGAATCGAGAAAAAAGAAGTACTCGAATGAACCATAAATCAACGTATAACCAATACATGTATTTATGTTTTTTTTTTAATCTTATTGTAAGACATATGTATTTGCTTGATGTTAACTTTTAGTCAAAATTTGAGTCGAACTGAACCGTGCACAACTTTAGGGATTACGTTAGATCAAACACTCATAAAACAATGTAATACAGGAACTAGAACCGTTTAATATACATGTACTAAAGTCATTTAAAAATTTAATTGAAATAACATCATTATTTAAATTTTTAATTGAAATACCTAAACAATTACCACCAACATTCGGATACGCATTATTGTTTCAAATATATTTAAATTACTGTTTTATGATATTAATCAAAGAACAAGTTTATTCGTAATGTGAAATTTAATCGTTAATGTATAAATCTTCTTCGTAAACATGAGTATTTGAATGTGTTCGCCAAACGCTTATACTTCAAAGTGATGAATCACAAACAATTATATTTTGACTAAAATGTTTCATCAAGCCTTGTAAATTCTATAGTAATATTTCTCAAAGGCTTAATCGTTGAAGAACTACGCTCTCCGAATCAGTTAGAACTTAGAGGCCCAAGTTTCTCGAACAACGACAACGTAAGCTCAAGACCTCAAGAAGAGTGTAGAAGATTTGTTGGTCAATATGGAACAAGTATTCCTCTTTATTTATTTTCGAAACACAATTTGACTTATAGTTTTGAAAATTTATTTTCTCAAAAATAAATATTTTCAACCAAAAATACTAGTTTGTTGCTTTCAAAATGTTCGCCAGAATATTTTTATTTAAATTGATTTGATTGCCTTAAATACTCATATTTTGAAAGAAGTCAACCTGTTTAAATCTAGCCAAACATTTGAGTCGGTTGACGATCAATTTGCAAAGATATCACCTTTTATTATCTGGGGTAATGGCAAATAGGGCCATGACAATGACACTTAATTAAAAGAGGGACATCCAACTTTTTTGTCTTTCAAATAAATTCACCCCATTCAAACTTATTTGCAAATAAGGAAAATCCATTTATATATACCAAAATTACCCTCAATTCATTGAAACTCAATTCAACTCCAATTTCATGATTTACACTCCAATTTAGCCCAATTTCATCAATTAACCAATTTTAACCCTAATTTCAAGTTTGACCCCAATTTTAACCATAATTCTTATCAATTCCACCAATTATGCTTTAACTTCCTTAATATTACACATTGACCCCGGATTTAAACAAATATATTACATTAACCCCCCAAAATGTTTTTTTCAGAATTTTTTTTTTTTTCTGAAATGTTTTTTTCCCGGCCAGATTCCGGCATTGGCCGCCGGAGCCCGGTCTCCGGCGTTGACTTTTTTTTTT